GCAAAATCAACTTAGTTTATAATTGATCTCTAGTTTGCTGCTATAAATCTACATATGTCCGTGGACACTCTTCTGACCAAAAAGTAGGCAGAGGTCTTAGTACAAATGCTGTCGACCCATTTAGGGTGTCAACTTACAAATGTTGTCTTGTAACATTGTCAGTAATGCTATTTCTGATAACGTTGCAAAAGAAAAATTTTAAGTTCACACGATTGTTAGACATTTTCTGCACATTTTACTGACAACGTTGCAAGATCTAAAAACCGTGTATTAATGCTTTTATTTATAAACTTTTATCAAAGGTTTATAAATCAATTTTTCATACAAAATTTGTTCTATAAACCTTTGATAAATGGATGAACTTAAAGTATAACTGTCATCAACTTTGATCCGGGTTTGAAACATTTCTATGGTTTACAATATGTTTGTTACAAATAATATTAGATTGATCGGAAAGTTCCGAAGAGCGATCATAGACACCAAGTTTTATTTTCTCAATTAATTCTATAAATGTTAAGGCTGATTTCTACTGTAAAGAGTAGGAAGTGCGGATGTATTTAAAGACAGGGCTGCATATGAGAATTTGTTAACTTCCAAGTTTAAGTTCATTAACTAATCTATTCATATACATATAGATAGATAGATAGATAGATAGATAGATAGATAGATAGATAGATAGATAGATAGATAGATAGATAGGATAGATAGATAGATAGATAGATAGATAGATAGATAGATAGATAGATAGATAGATAGATAGATAGATAGATAGATAGATAGATAGATAGATCGATAGATAGATAGATAGATAGATAGATATATAGATAGATAGATAGATAGATAGATAGATAGATAGATAGATAGATAGATAGATAGATAGATAAATAGATAGATAGATAGATAGATAGATAGATAGATAGATAGATAGATAGATAGATAGATAGATAGATAGATAGATAGATAAGTAGATAGATAGATAGATAGATAGGATAGATACATTGATATTACTTTAAATTACGAATCTAATCTAAAATATCTGCACTTTCTGGTATACAACTTCATCTACATATGATCGACTAATGCATATTTTCTCTATAAGATCCAATTTATTTCGAGTATGCGAAATTTCATACTACTTTTGCATTTCAATTTTGAAGTTTTCATGCGTATTTCCGATTAAAAGTTAAAACTTTTTTAATTTTAATGATTCGAAATTTTATTATTAAAATATTTTATGAAATAAAACATTTCAGCGGATCTCTTATAAAAAACCCCATCACTTGTTATATACAGTAAATACATATGTACATATATTCAAAACTATACTTTAAATTCAATCATTAAACATTGTATTGAAATTTCCCAGAATTTTAATGAATCAGTGTCCTATATTCCTACCAATGTGTGATGATAACTTACTAATCTACCCTAGGGTACTACTATTATCAGTAGTGTAGCTTAATGTTTGCTGTTACTGTTTGTTGCTTTTTGTTAACATTTATATAAACACATTTGTTAGCAGTTCAAAAATTGATAACAACACAACACAAAAAATACAACAAAATCATTAACAATTCTATTTAAACATAAACATGTTAACAACCTAAAAAGCCCGATTCTATGTAGTTCAGATACTGCAGGAAAGAATTCATACATGTGTGGTTGGCTGACTGACTGACTGGCTTGCTACCAAATGATAAATATTTAACAATAACTTACAAATAATACTCATGTGAAATTCAAGTTTATTTTTATGAATGTGAAAATGTATGCGATTCTATAAACGAATTTTTATGTGTGTGTATGTGATTATATTTTGCCCAAGAACCTCCACAGACTTATCATTATTATTCAAACTACTCTTTGGCTTTACATTCGATGTAGTACTCTATACTATAAGACTAAACAATTTTATAATACAAATAAATGCAAAGCATGAAAAAAAAAACGTAGCAAAAATATTATGAATCTTAAAAAAAAAAGAAAGAACATAAACGCAGTTATATGTTACTAATTGTGGTAAGAAGCAAAGGAAATATAAAATTATAAAACTTGTCTACATTTCTCCTATTCGTTCGTTGGCAATCACACTTTTAGTAAAAATATAAATAAAAAATAAACATATTCTTGGTATTCAAAGAAGATGGAAAATGTATAAAGAAATTAATGTGTTTTTATTTTCTTGCAAGGGTTTGCGTTTTGCTAATAAATTATCGGAATAAATCTTTGGACTATGTGAAAAGGGCTTTTCATGTTGATTTAAGTATAAGGATTTTTTGTATGCTATTTATATCCTTACGGAATAGTTGATGGTTAATTAATTTGATAAATTTCTCACAGTATTCTAGGTCAAAATATACTTAACCTACACCAAAAACAAATAATTGGAAATAGTTCAAGTTTGATGATGCCTGGGTTTTCAACCCAAAAGATTTGACGAGTCGATTTTATAAAGAAAGAAATGTGAGAGAATCTGGGTCTCACTATAAAACCAAAATAAAGTCAAAAAAATGACTAATTCCCCTAATAAAAACTAGTAGACTGCGAGGGTTCATTCTTACAATTTCCCTCAGTTCGTCATGAAACCTATTTCTTAGCTATTTCAAACTATGCTTCTGTTTACTAGGACAGTGGAAAATAATACGCTGGGTCGTCTCTAGTTCTTTTGCATCTTTGTATAACCTGTAATAGTCCCACTTACTGATAAAGTCCCTTAATTAAGCAAAGCCTCGTTAGTAACCCTATCAGAATCCACAGACTGCGTCTATTTAGTCATATAAGTATCTTGGTAGCCCTCACATCAATTCTACAATGGTTCATAATGTCACGGATTCTCCCGAATATCAACCTAGAATAGTGACAGTTGAATGGATTCCTAGCCGCCACAGCTGCTACTAAATGTTTTATTGGTGACAAATACAGAATGATGTCCAAGACCGCTTGTGCAGAACTACTAATGGCACCATTAATGCCAAGAGAAACACACTATTGAACCAGTTGTCACATTTAATTCTATCTAAACACTATTATGGCCAATATCAAAAACCCTATTTGTTTTTCTTACTTCATAATATTCATCCATTAACGTTTACGTTATGGCCGTCCGTCTTTGCTTAAAGTAAATTATAGTTTGTAATGTTAATACCTTTACATATACCGTTTGATTAGCCCCAGAGAAGAAGCTAAAAAGTACAAGAATAAGAATATATACTAAATATAATAAACGTACCACTGCTAAACAATTATAAAGTGTTAATTTCATTATAACTATAACTTTGTATACTTGGTAAAAGGGTTCATGGAACCATTGGATGTGGTTTGACTTGATATTGCAAAGTTTTGTTTTTAACTTGAAGAAAAATTTAAAAGCATTTGATATTTGAATACATATTTCGGGAATAATATACTAAGGCATATCCTTTTAACAATCTAAACCTTTTAAAGTTAGAAATAGTTTTGAACTATCTGTCATTTCTTAGTAAATTTTGTTAAATTATCTTTAAGTCTAGAAGTTTTGTATTGGCAAAATATCGCCACATGAAGAAAAACAGGCGAAAACGACTTCGTACACAATACTTGATATTACGGATACAAAAGTTGTATGTCAAAGTAGATGATAGTCCAAAGAAGGATTAAAAGCTCGAATATTAAATTTTTGGAAGAAAAAGTGGTATTAGCAATCAAAAACAAAAATTTATCTTCCAAATATTTTTGTAAGAATTTTTTACTTCTAAATCTATTTGCAATATTTCTACAATTTAAATCTAACAAGTAGGAAAGTATAGTCGGACATGGCCGACTATATGATACCCTACACCATGGGTATATTTTAAAAATTATTTATTTTTCATACAGAAACGTTTATGTTGAATTTTACCTTAATTCCGATATATTTAAGCAATTTATTGATGAAAAACTAAATTTCTAAAAGAGGCTTTATATGGGAGTTAGGGTCAAATATGGGCCGATCCTCAACAAATTGGGAAGACGAATGTAATTTTATATAAAGGTTAGTTGTGCTGAATTTCATCGGGATACTAATGGTTATAAGTAAATTTTTTGACGTTTAAGTTATGTTTTAAAGGGGGCTTTTTATGGGGGCTAGGGCAAACGACGGCCGGTCATTATAAAAATTGACATGGTCATTTATGCCTATATAGAACTTAGTTGTGTCAATTTTTGGTGAGATATATTTGACGTAGTATATTTGATGTAAGTAGTTATGAGTTAAAAACTCTAAATCGGAAGGTAAGGTTGTATGGGGGCTAGGTGAAATAATGGACCGATTTCAACCATTTTCATCGTCCTTTTGTCGAAAACCTCGTATGGTCCAAATTGTATCAAAATCTCTTGAAAATTGTGGTCTGTAGCTTGCGCACAAGGTTTACATGGACAGCCAGCCGGACAGACGGACGGACGGACATGTCAGAAAGTGATTCTGAGATCGGTATACTTTAAGGTATACGACCAATATTTGTATGCGTTACAAACATCAGCACAAACGTATAATACCCTCCTTAACTAAACTATTATATTTATAGTAAATGGGAAACATATTTTCGAAATAAGTGGATTATTTCTTAATTTTCTTATCTAATAACAAAATATTAAATTTAAAAACAATTTAACAGCAAAACAAAAAAAAATATACAAATAACATTTAAACACAAAAAGTGTTATTTTATTTATTAAATACTTTTTTTGTTTTGTCTAACGGCTGCGACATTTCATACATTTTTATTGTTAAGAATAAAAATAAACTTGTCTATATGGTGTAATTGTTATTTTACTTATTTTGTATTTATTTATTCTCTATATAAAGGGGTGATAACAACGCCACAAAAATATATTAACACATTTAATGTCATTGCTATCTTTATTACAAACAATTTATAGAAATGATTCAATCACCGATTAATAATGTAAATAGTTTTTTTTGTTACCACGATTAAGATATTAATAAAATTTTGTAATCTTAACAAATTTGTATTTTCTTACAGATAATGTGGATCATGAAGATGCCAAGTCCCTATTCGAAACAAATTTTAGCCATGTTTATTTTATACTCTATGACACATTCATACAAGCGGAAGCAAATTTAAAACAAAAAGGTAATTAAAGACAAAATGTATAAAAAACTAAATTTATTTTAAATTTAACAGAACTAACACAGAATTCCAGAAATACCAAATTACAACTTTAAAAATTAAAAGTAATTTCATTTTGAAAAGTTGTTGTTACTGAAATAATTCGAATGGAATTCTGTGATAGTTCTGTTAATTTCTTAATTTTTAGAAGATATACATTTTTTATATAAATTTCTTTTAATACGTTTAAAGATTTTTATTAATTGTTAATAAATTATATTATTTTTGTATAATTTCAAACCAACTCCCCAAAAAAAATTATATTTGTTATTATTTGTTGTACTCTTTCTTTATACTTATTTATAAATGTATATGTTGTGTAATTGTTGTAACCTACTACTTCCTATGAAATCCAAAATAAAAAAAAACCTACAACAAACAATAAATTCTTAAAATAAAATCCTAATATTTTTATATGTTTAATTGTTAAATTTCTTTGTGCCAAACCAAAAATCAAAACAATAATGCACTTTTTGCTACCGCTCTGCTCTCTCTTTGTACTACAAACATTTTTTGAAATTATGGCAGAACTTCCGTTTCACATTGGTAAGTTTGACTTAATTATTATATTGTATGGTTGATTATTACCACTATAATAATAACAATAAAAAAAAAACTACGAAAAATATCAACAACAAAAACAAAATTTTAAATTAATGCCATTCACTATGCCATCGTTTATTCGCTTAATTGTTTTGTTTTCATCAAGTCAAAAAGAAAAAGATCATTGTTTTAATGTTTTCATTTTTTTAAATCTTTATCCTGTTATCCTAAAACAAAATTTTGCATGCTTATGTTTTGTTTTCTTTACTGACCCCTAAATTTTAGCAGTGTATTGCATTTTACTATGTTTTTGTTTAGACACATTTCCTTTTCCATCACTTTTCATATCCTTAAAGTTTGTTTTCATATATTTTGTTTTGTTAAATATATTTTATTAAATGTAGTTTTGTATTACGCTTTGTTATGTTTTTATTTATTTATGTTCATCAGTATTTTAGATTACTTGTATTGTATTTTTGTTTGTGTTATAAATTTATCTAATTTTATTATGTTCATACGTTTCCATTTAGTTCACAAAGCCCATCGTGAAGAATTGGACGGTTCACTATGGCTATTGGAGAAAATTCTATGTTTACTGCCAGAGTTGCTGGCTCGACGCTGGCAGTGTCACTCACTCAGTCGTATTATGGGCAAACTCTTACATTTGGGAAATTCGCCAAAATTGAGAAAGGAAGGAGTGCGGTAAGTTGTAATTTAAATCAAAAAGTATTCTAGTTGAAGTCTTAATAGTATACGCACAATTGGGACGAACGTCGAATTTTTCGGAACGAATATTCGTCGTCAGAAATAAAACACACTTGGGTATATGAAAATGTACACAATCAATGCGTATGACGAAATTCGTCGTACGTAACGAACTATGCGATAGGATTATTTCTATTTCTTACGCAGACGAACGACGAAATAATTGGAGAAAATTGTTTTTAAACCAATTCCGGTAGCCCGAATTTGCTGAAATTTGGCTATTGTGAGTACAACTAATGACAATACAATATTATGTTCGAATATTCGAAATTATATTCGAAAATTCGAAGTTATGTTCGAAAACTTTTGTATGCTCTTAAAATAATCTCTGGGTCATAAAAACTAAAAATACAATTTTCGAAAATTCGAACTTAAGTCCGAAAATTTTTTAAAGCCATTAAAACCAGTTCTCGTGGCCCGAATTGTCTGAAGTTTGGCAGTCTGGAGTACACTTGATGACTCTACAATGCTATGTTGGAATATTTAAAATTAAGTTCGAAAATTCGAAGTAATATTCGAAAAAATTTTGGGATATTCACAAAAATATAATTTTAGTTCTTTTCGAGGCCAATTTCTTACATTTTCTAATTTCGAAATAATGTTCGAATAAATTTTAAAGCTGTTAAAATTATCTCAAAATCATGGAGATTCACAAAAATATACTTACTTTTTCCAATTTCGAACAAACAAATTTTGAAACGAATTCGCAGTACGAATAATTTGATTGTGTTCCATTCGACGAATTTACGCAACGAATTTTTGTCGACTAGTTCGTCGTACTATATGAAATTCGTCGTTCGTCCTAATTGTGCGTATACCATAAGGCATTTTTTTGCATTACATTTTTACTGGAAAGACATTTTAAGAAAATACAAATAGATTAATGAAAAGAGCATATTTCTAAAATAGTTTTAAAGACTTTAGGAATATAGATTAATTTAAATTTTATCTAAAAATTTTAATTCGTTTAACATTGATGTAATATTTATGACTTTTGATTTCAAAAGTTCACCCAAATTAATTTCAATTAAGAATTTGCATCTGAAACCTTTTCCTAAGATTTCAGTACCTAGACTAAATAAATAAAATTAAACAATCCGTATCATCCTAAATTACTAATTATCTTTTTTAATCTTACAGTTACTTTCTCCTCTGGTATCAGGCGCTGGGTGAAAATGCTCCCGCCTATGTTCACAACATGTATGCCGATTTAATACCCGGACTTATAGTCCCTCAGAAGGGTATACAAGGTCCAGATGTTGAATTCAATACAGCAGATTTTCTCAATCATCCCAATATGAAAGTGGAAGGCAGTACAACATCAGTATTTCACGATAGCTACTCACATCCCGTACAAAGTTCAGAGTTAATAGCTCTACTGCCACCATCGTCTAGTGAGAAATCATCGCCCCCAGATCCGACCAGTGGTCTAGAGATATTACTCAATAGTATGGTACAAACGGCAGCCTGCTTAAAGTGGCGCGATAATCATGCACAAAAAGATCACAAGGCTTTTGCATTTTTGCTGCAACGTTTCAAAGAAGTTTTTCTACCAGTATTTTGTCCCAATTTTGATTTTAATATGTCGGTCTATGAACCGCGTTTAGATTTGCCCACAATGAGATCGATTAATAAAAAGGATGAGGTAATGGCACCTTGTGTGGTGGTCTTAATAAATTGGTTGTCACGTTTTACTCACGAGCGTTTGCTGCAACATCGTTTGGATAATGTTCATATAGCTGAGGCAGCAGATCATGTGCGTTTGCATGCTTATCAACAGGCTCTAATTGTAAGAGATGTCCTGTATGCCACCAGAGAGAATGTTAATTTCATACATGAAGTTTATCGCCAGGCATTTTTATTAAATTTTACTTCGAAAGCTCAAATTGATGCTATACGTTGTTCTATAGCTGTCTATCGCGACTGGATGACGGGAAATACTCCACCACCCTTTCTCTTGGAACCAGAAGAAAGTGGAGGTACAGCTTTGCAGCAGCAACAACAGCAAAATAATGCCAATGCCGGTGGCACACCAAAATCAAATTTGCGTTTAAGAAATCCCTCTTATGTGGGAGCCATGTCTAAGGAAAACATCGGGGTAAGAGCAGGTCTTCAGAATATTTTACAAATATTTGTTACCAATGCAGCCAATGTATTTTTGGTCAACACTAGTAACCTAAACATATATTTTCCCACAAAATCACGAGAATACCGTTCAACGCCTTTGCATGAACAAACCGAGATCTGTAAGAAAGTATTGAATGTTTATCGTACTATGGTTATGAATACCCCTATGGATCCCAGAACTTGGGAGCAATTATTATTAGTTTTGCTGCAAGTCACATCGGTGGTTTTGCATCAGCATCCACCACAAGCTTCGAAAAGTTCCAGTTTAGGCGGCATTTTGGGTCAAGCCATATTCCAAACACTCATAGTCACTTGGATAAGGGCTCACACTAATGTGCCAGTTAATGTGCAATTATGGGAAAAGTTTTTAACTGTCTTGACCTCCTTAACGCATCGTGATGAACTGATTATAGAATGGGACAAGACCATACAAACTTTAACACGTGTCTTTTCGCGTTATGTCTACTCATTAAACTTACAAGATTTGCCTTTAGATCGTTTGGCCGAATCGAAGGGTAAACGGCGTAGACCTGGTGTATGGCAACAAACATCATCGGTTTCTAATGGTTCGGTAACAAAAGATAGAGAGCACAAAGAACAAAATCAGCAGGAGAGAGCTTCTACCAACAGTCGTTCAGAGGAAAATTCTCAATCCACAATTGGCAGACATGGTGGTTCGGTGGGTCAAGGTCAAAAGCTGTCAGTTGGCCAACGCTATCCGGTTACACCAATAATGAGCCGTAGCTATAGTGAGGGTAGTTTACCTTCTATGCCACGCACACCCAGATTTCGAACAAAACATCGACATCTAAAGCCTCCCACGAATTTACCTTCTAGTGTGGAAAATTCTCTTAATACCATGATACATCAGAGTTCCAATTCTCCGGAGTTGTTGGAAAATGTTCAATTAAATTGCAATGTCTCACAAAATAATGATATGCGTCGGGCTATGTCTTTAGACTCGTTGGCCACTTTAAAACGTTCGAGAAAATCGAGAAGGTTTCGAAGAAATACCCACAATCAGGATGATATTGATGACATAGACGGCGCTGATGATGATAGTGACGATTCACGCTCTCCTTCGCCTACCGCTAGCAGTGGCATAGAGGGAGGTTCCATTAAAGATGCTCAAATTCAAATAGATGTTCTAGCGGTTGATAGTGGCGGAAGTCTGGGAGAAAGTGAGGGTAATTCGGGAAATTACCAAACAGAGCGAAGATCTATTATACTAGGTGGCACAGCTACTGGTTGGTTGCCCGATTCAACAGCAATTATGTGGAAACGTATGTTGGGTGCATTAGGCGATGTAAATCGCATACCCAAAACTGATTTGCATGCTCAAGTTTTCAAGCATTTACTGGACATGACACTGAATTTGATAAAAATCAAACAAAATCAAGGCATTTCAACAGACAATCAACAAACACCGCCACCACCAGCATTGGTGCCACCCATTGGTATTGTAGCTCCTTGGTGTTATGGTGCATTACAACTAGACAAGTCTTTCAAAAGAGGCAAACTATGGGCTGTACAATTGTTGTGTACTTTAACTGTCAATGGAGCTGTAACTGGCATGCAACATCTGCCCTTATTCTACTGTGCTCTACATCGTTTATTGACGGGAGAAGATCGCGAATTAATATATGCTGCTTTGAAATATCTAGAAGGCCCCAGATTTCTAAGTTTACTACTGCCGGGACACACTCTGCTGCTATTGGATATTGTGCATGCTTCAGCTATTTTGTTGACTTCTTTGGAAGCTAGCCGTTTGACACCCCGGGCTGAAGTAGCTGCCTTATTGGGTACGCTGTTATGTTATCCTTCTACTTTGTTGCCACGTCCATTGCTACAACCCACCCCCCAGCAATTTGAGCTAATGGAATGCGCAGACTTACAAGATCATATTTTAAACATAGTGTTGCGCTGCGCACGTCGAGAGCCTTCTGCAAAGGCAAGATGCATTGCTTTGTCACAGTTGGGTCAATGGATTCTTATGAAATTGTCACATCCACTAGCGGCCAGAGGTAGCAGTGCTAATTCAAAATTCCAACAGGCTATACCTCATTCTAAAGGCCAACAATTAAAGGATGATCACCGACAATATTACAATCCTCGTATCAAAGAGGGTTTACAAGTCTTGCTGCAAGCATTACAATTTAAACATCGCACCATTGCTATGGTAGCTGTGGATTCTTTAAAGCTGTGCATGGAAAGGGGAAGAGAATTGGCCTCAATTGAGCGAATGCCACAATTAATAATCACAGCTATTTGTAAAGCCTTGGAAATACAAAATGTAACAAATCCCAAAGATTCAGATAAGGTGGTTTTAACTTCCTTAATGTTATGTTTAGGAGAATATTGTTTGGCTTTCCCCTCAGCCATTATGCTGGAGCCGATTAATGATAGGGGAGATACTTTGGTCCTTATGGTACTAAGAGTACTCTTACAAATCGCCTCCGGGGCACCCAAACATGAAAGGGTAAAATTAACAGCTGACGATGACTTTGATATGCATATAGCCAGCGATGATCTACACGATGATGGTAAATTGCCCGAAGATAATTACCAGACTTCAGAAACTATACAAGCCTGCATAACTGCAATAAGACTGTGTGCTAAGGCTGTGGCTATGCACTTGGTAACTAATTTGGGTCATTTTCCCATGGGTATTGGAGCGGCACGCTTAAGTTCTATGGTCGAGGAACAAGATGATGTGAATGGTTATAATGGTTGCGTTACGACCGCAGGAAATCAACAAAATTCCGTAAATAGTGCTGATCTAAGACGGGATTCCGTGGAATTGCCCTCAATTTTACATGCTCAAAATATGCAATTGTTTATGCTGAATCCTGGTCTAGTGGCCAGTTTTATCGAATTGCCTACGCTTAAATTGCCGGGTGGTGGTGTTACTGCTGGTTTGGTGACAGCCGAAAAACAAGTTCGAGTTCTGCTGCGCGATTTGAATGGCAAGGCCTGTTGGGATGCTTCTATATTGTACAGTGAGCCGAAACGTGAATGCCCGAAGATGGATGGCTATGGACCTTCCTCGATCGATTGTAGAGGTTATAGTCCGGCACACTCTCATCGCTACAATCAGGTTCAACCGATGGATTCCTTAATGCATTCAATGCAGGGTATGGATATATCACCACCACGTCATACTTTGAGACATAGACCTTTGGGCGAGTTACCATTAGCTAAGGATTTAGCACCGGATCTAGATCAATTGGACGATCTATTGGGTTATATAGGACATACCAGCCCCGAGTGTTTACCTTACCCGGTGGCTCAGTTAAATGCACCTGCACCTTCTCCTCTGGGAAGTAATGCTGAGGCCCAAGCTATATCAGTGATATTGAATCAACGAGCCTTGGAACAGGAATTCGTAGCTAATATCAATCAACAAGCCTTACAACAGCCATTGCCTGGCAGTTCAACTCCCTCAATTGTGGCTGGCCACGACACGCGTTCACTGCATTCAATGCACGAGCCAATTTCACACAATTCCTTTGAGTCCTACCACTCAACGAGTTTGAATGGTCGCAATGAAATACCATTCCAATATTGTCGCTTGCTCTTCTCTCATCTGGGCTTAGCAGGTTGGGAGCGACGTTCCCGAACTCATTTGCTGCAACGTACCGAGAAGCTATTGCGTGAATTGCGCAATGTAGACTTGCAAAAATGCCGTGAAACTCATAAGATGGCGGTTATTTATGTAGCCTCTGGTCAGGAGGATAAGAACAGTATTTTACGAAATGCCAGTGGCAGCACAATGTATGAAATGTTTGTTTCCGCCTTGGGTTGGGAAATAGATTTGGAGACTCATAACGGTTTTTTGGGTGGTCTGCCAAGACAAGGCTGCGGTGCTACGGCACCCTATTATGCTACACCATTTTTAGAGGTTATCTATCATGTGGCCACACGCATGCCTTCAGATTCACCTGAAGCAATTCTACTTAAAACCAGACATTTGGGAAATGATGAAGTGCACATTGTATGGAGCGAACATTCGCGCGATTATCGTCGTGATATTTTGCCAACAGAATTTTGTGATGTTCTTATTGTGGTGTATCCCTTGAAGAATGGTTTATTCCGTGTAACGGTCAATCGTAAACCGGAAGTACCATGGTTTGGTCCCTTGGCCAATGAGAGTGTGGTTAGTGGTGCTTGTCTGGCAACATTGATACGAGCAACCGCTATTAATGCTAGTCGCACTAAAAGAGCTGCTCTACCTTTATATCAGCAATAGTAAGTTTTTGGGTTATTTTTAAATGGAATAGTTTTTCATTAAATTGTTTTGTTTTCTCTTTATTCCTCAGTTATGAAGAACGAAATCGTTCTTTAGATAGTGTTTCTTCTAGATATAAAGAGAGCACTACATTTGAGGACTTTGCTAATCGTATTTACAATCCAATGCCCATGTCTGCATATGCTACTCTCAGAGATACTACCAACAATTCAGCTCCATTGGCTGCAGCTTTAATTGATCATCAGCGATCTTCGGTGAAGGGTAAGTAAACAATTTGATCTGTTACACTGTTAAATTTAGTTTTAAATTAAATTTATCTTATAGGTTGGGTACAGGCTTCAATTGATGCAAATATGAAAGAAATTCCCTTGGGTATAATGCCTTCTGTTTCCGCCTCCTCGACAGCAGCTATGGAAGCCATGAATTCTTCAAATTCACCTAGAGGTGCTCGAAAACTAGGCTCCACCTTTAAGGGTGGACCGAAACGTCTGCATACGGGAAATCATACCACACCACCAGAGAGTCCCACTTTACCATTGCGCAAATTTAAATAATACATAGTATTTTATAGCTAGGAACGACCCCAATACTAATAATTATTAACATTAACATTAAGAAAAAACATAAATACAATAACACTCATATTAAATGTAGTGTTTCCAAAACAATGTTACAACAAACCAACAACAAATAATTCTACTTAAAACAGCGAAAAGTAAACAAAAAGTTAATTGCTATTAAAAGTTAAGAAATATTTAAACAGACATACACAATATTGCAAACAATCAATAACGAATCAAATTCATTCCTTTTTTTTAAATAACACGAGTGAGCAAAATAATATATAAAAATGCGCATTTGAATAATTAAAAAAAAAAAAAATAATAATAATTATGTCTGCAAAGTCAACGAAGCGCATTTCTTTTATAGGCATTTTATGATTATTTATTCGTTTTTTATTTAACTTTTGTTTGTTTTTAATTTAACACAAAACACATTATAAAAAATATTATAAATTTATATTTAAATTATTTACATCATATAAAGTATTTATTTATCTCTAGTTATTTACTACATTTGTTTTAATGTTATAATATTTCTCTCTTATTTTTGTTTATTTAAATCTCCTACTATTACTATTTTCTTGCATAAGTTTAATTTATTAATATTTCTTTTAACTCTCTTCATTTTTTTTAATGTCTTGTAACAATATTTGTTTTTAATTAATTACAAAATGATATTTTTTTTTATAGAATTCAACTTTTAAATATGAATTTTTTTCTCATTCTTAGAAAAGATTTAAGTGGTTGTCATATGAATGTATATGGAATAATAGATTTTAATGAGAAAACTATGGATTAGATGAGTGAAACTGGAGTAATGTTTCAAAAGCATTTTAGATTTAAAATTCTATATTTCGAAATGACTCTTTGTTATTAAAGAAATTCAAATTTAAATATTTTATTTTCAGAGGATTAATTTTTTTTTTTGCAAATCTTGTGTGAATTAAAATTTTTTGTTTCGTATTTTCGTTAAATTTCGTTTTTTTTTTGTGTTTTTATACAATTTCCTTATTGTTTCTTAAAAATAAATATTTTTTTGATATTTTCGAATTTTTTCGAACATTACAAAATTCCTTATATAAAGCCTATAAAACGTTTAAAATACATAAGAATATTAAAATATATAAATAGAAATATTTTTGCTTTTTCGAAATTAATTTCGAATTTTTTCGAACATAAAAATTTTTATAAAAAAAACTACAAAATGTTTAAAACTTATTCAGTGTTTTAAAAAAATTGTATTTTTTTAATATTCGAATGTTTAAAATAAGTTTAAAATAAATATTCGAAAAGAATTGAATATCTCGAGTTTGTTTAAAACAATTTTAACAATTTTGTTATTCACTGAATATTTTCAATCAAAATAAAAACTTAGTTTCAATCTGCAAATTTCCATAGTTTTCTTTATCTAAATCTATGTTCTATAACACATTTTATAAACAGTTTTTTGAAATTGTTGTTTTTATTAATGAAATTTTTTACGCAATTGATTTACGTCCATTTGAAAATGTCATTGAGTTCTATTATTTATTTTATTTTTTCATATTATTTATTTTATTTATTAATAACATATTTTAGTATTTAACTTCTCAAGTACTCGATGTTAAAGAAAAACATATATATTTTTGTTTTTTTTTTATGTAAAAACTATGAACAAAAAAGTTTTTTTTTTTATGTTTTCACAATCTTTAAAAATACACAATTTTGAAACTTAGTGGTAAACAAAATTCTTCAAAATTTCAATAATTAAAGTTACAATTCGAAAAGTAATAAGAAAAAAAACCAGCTAATTGTATAATTGTGCTATTATTGTTTTCTTTTTTCATTTCTAATTCTCGGCAATATCTTCTTAAATATAGTATTAAAACAAATATAAAATATTTTAGTTTATAAGTTATTGTAATTATTAAATTAATAAAAAAAAAACACACGAATATTAATGAAAACAAGAAAAAAAACAATAAATTTTTATATAAATGTAATAAAAAAACTCAAATTAAAAAAAAAAAGCTTGCAACAATCGCAAAAAAGAAAACGAAAATTTCCAAAAATAATAATATTAACAAAAAATTTAAAAATTATATTATAACTTATACATATAATATTAACAAAAAATTACTACTACAATGTATTTAAAAAAATATATATAAAAATTCCTATTCTAAAATTTTGAAAATTTAAAGAAAAAGTTATAAAAACAAATTATATGCTATAACCCTTAACACTGTAAAATTGATTTTGTAAATTTTTGGTCTTTTTTGTTTAAATTGAGAAGAAGAAAAAAACTTTTATTAAGCGTTTTTTTGCTTTTTTATAAAATATTTAACATAAAGAAAATTTAAGTTTATTTAATGTTATAAAAAGAATTTAATATTTATTTTTTTAAAACGTGCAACAAAAATTTATATATAAAATTGCATTATTCACATGATTTTTGTAACTAACACCAATTAATTAATTATTCTTATAAATATTATAAAGCAAAACAAAAAAAAAAAAAAAAACACAAATCCAAAACACTAAAAAAATTCTATATTTGTATATTTTTAATATTTAAATACAAAATTCCCTCCCTCTGTTAATTTGTTTCTTTTTTTATTTATATCGTATTGTATTAATTACAACAACAAAAATTTGCTAATAAAATTTCAAATTTAAAAATTATTATACCCAATATTATAAATGAAAGTTTTATTTATTTTTAGAAATTTAAGTATATCAGCAGCCTTGAAGTTTAAATTCCTTTGGATTTTAATCCCTAAATGCCTGAATGTCTTTTTGGCTTTAGTGCCTTTATTCTGCATTTCGATTACGTTTCCGCATTCAGCTCGCAAAGACCTAAAATTGGTTTTCCAATAAAAAAAACGGAATACCAATTTGTGTTCAAAAAACGAAGCCTGTTCGTCAGTTATATACTTCGTTTAGTCTGCAATCTAGTCTATAGTGCAGCCTTTAGTCCACATAGTAGTCAATAGATCAGTTTGTAGTCAATTCTAGTCTATATGTGGTAGTCTAGTCTATAGTCAAGTCAATAGTCTAGTCTATAGTTTATAGTCTAATCTATAGAATAGTCTATAGTCTGGTTTATAGTGTGGTCTATAGTCTAGTCTATAGAATAGTCTATAGTTTAGTCTATAGTCTAGTCTATAGCCTAGTCTATAGTCTAGTCTATAGTCTAGTCTTTAATCTAGTCTATAGTCTAGTCTATAGTCTAGTCTATAGTCTAGTCTATAGTCTAGTCTATAGTCTAGTCTATAGTCTAGTCTATAGTCTAGTCTATAGTCTAGTCTATAGTCTAGTCTATAGTCTAGTCTATAGTCTAGTCTATAGTCTAGTCTATAGTCTAGTCTATAGTCTAGTCTATAGTCTAGTCTATAGTCTAGTCTATAGTCTAGTCTATAGTCTAGTCTATAGTCTAGTCTATAGTCTAGTCTATAGTCTAGTCTAGTCTATAGTCTAGTCTATAGTCTAGTCTATAGTCTAGTCTATAGTCTAGTCTATAGTCTAGTCTATAATCTAGTCTATAGTCTAGTCTATAGTCTAGTCTATAGTCTAGTCTATAGTCTAGTCTATAGTCTAGTCTATAGTCTAGTCTTTAGTCTAGTCTATAGTCTAGTCTATAGTCTAGTCTATAGTCTAGTCTATAGTCTAGTCAATAGTCTAGTCTATAGTCTAGTCTATAGTCTAGTCTATAGTCTAGTCTATAGTCTAGTCTATAGTCTAGTCTATAGTCTAGTCTATAGTCTAGTCTATAGTCTAGTCTATAGTCTAGTCTATAGTCTAGTCTATAGTCTAGTCTATAGTCTAGTCTATAGTCTAGTCTATATTCTAGTCTATAGTCTAGTCTATAGTCTAGTCTATAGTCTAGTCTATAGTCTAGTATCTAGTCTAGTCTATAGTCTAGTCTATAGTCTAGTCTATAGTCTAGTCTATAGTATAGTCATAGTCTAGTCTATAGTCTAGTCCTATAGTCTATTCTATAGTCTAGTCTATAGTCTAGTCTAGATCTAGTCTATAGTCTAGTCTATAGTCTAGTCTATAGTCTAGTCTATAGTCTAGTCTATAGTCTAGTCATAGTCTAGTCTATAGTCAGTCTATAGTCTAGTCTATAGTCTAGTCTATAGGTCTAGTCTATAGTCTAGTCTATGATCTAGGCTATAGTCTAAGTCTATAGTCTAGTCTATAGTCTATCTGTAGTCTAGTCTATAGTCTAGTCTATAGCTAGTCTTAGTCTATTCTTATAGGCTGGCCTATAGTCTAGTGTATAGTCTAGTCTATAGTATAGTTTATATTCTAGTTTATAGTCTAGTTTATATTCTAGTTTATAGTCTAGTTTATATTCTAGTCTATATTCTAGTCTATAGTCTAGTCTTTAGTCTAGTATATGGACTTATATTTAGAAAAATTATTATTCGACTGTATTCTTACAAGATAATCAATCCATTTATCGATTTCTTTAAGACTAAATAGTCGGCTTCGACTTTTCGATAAAAAGTCGATTTATAAAATCCTATCTATGTATATATATATATATATTCTAATGTTACAAAACATTTGACCTTTTTATTACCTAAATAAACTGTTAGTTCTGTTCTGTTTTGTGAAGTTTTACTTAGATATTACCGGCAATAATAGAATTTTTAATAAAGGAGTGAGTAGCATTTTTGTAAACCAGATTGGCACGCAATTGTCTAGAGAAAAGAAGTACGAGTAGGTGGCAAAAGAAGTCTAAAGGTGAAACCCAATTGTAATAAATAACAGACGTAGCAAATAAACGCTTTAATTTAGTTCTTTGTTTGTTTGAAAAGTGGTCTCTTAAGAGTAAATAATTGTTTTTTTTTTGTTTTTACTTTTTTTGAAAATATTAAAAAAAAAAAAAACAGATACATACTTACATAGATACATTATGTAGTTGCTGTAATAAAAAAGCAGTCAGTATTTTGTAAAAAAAATATACATATTACATACATAGTTAAAAAGTTAATAACCTTTTGCGTATTTATTTATTTCGTTTAGTTTTAGTTTAAGGGTGGATTTTGCTGTTAACTTTAAATAACTATTTGGTCTATATTTTTTTGGGGGTAAGAATTGACTGCTGTGCATCTGTTGTTTTAATTAAAAGTGTTTATTATTAGTTTATTTTTAAATAAAAGAAAAAAAATACAAAGTTAGCATATGTAAAATTTAATTTTAGTTAAGTAGGTGTCGTTGGCCAACATTTTCCAATTGGAAAATTTATCACTACAGGATATTTTTTAAACTTTTCTTAACA